CGGATTTGCTATATCACGTTTTTTTCAAAATAAGATTGAACACGACACAATTGGCTGATTGATAGATGAACCATAAATTGTTTATTTAAAATTAATTATTTTTAAATGATTTTGCACCATGGCAGCATGGTGGTGCAACTGGTAGAGCTGCTGCCTCTCTTTTTTTTCCTCCTTGTCCTGTCCGGCATTGTGACACTTAGAATTATTGTCTGAGTGTCAAAGTGATGCCCAACAGATTTACTTTCACAAGCAGAGCGTTATGGCTGGCCTTAATGCTCCACTTGATATATAAATTAAATTTTATTAGAATATGCTTTGGGTTTGTTTCAGATGTAATGGACATGGGGACGGAAAACAAAGAAGATAACAAAGCAGAAAAGTGAGAGAAGAGTTAAAATGTAAAGAAGGAGATAGGAATAGAGAGAGAGAGAGAGGGATAAAGAGAACACAGATCAACATCATTGAAGTCTGACTCTAGACCTGCGGAGAGATAAAAACAAAAAACAACGAAACAACAACAAACAACATATATAATGATAGTTATAACATAATTAGAAAGTATTTTATACAGTACATGGTAATACAAGATATATTTAGTGGCCACCGAAACCCAACTGAGTGTGTATCTGATAAACACCTGAATCTAAACACCTGTGTGAGCATGATGTCACTATAAGGTTTCTCATAAAAATGTTCAATAGTGGATGTGGGGACCCATAAACCCGGTCCACACAGGACACGAAGGTAACACAGGGAAGCCCGGAACCACAGACACACAGCGGCCCCCAATCCCAGAACTCCGGTAGTCCCTCAATAGGGACACCCACACCCCCCAGAGAGAGAAGCAAAGGGAAGCCCCGGGTGATCCCCAGCAACCACAATGCAGAAACCCCCAGGAGGCTGTAGCGACGAGTCAACAGGCCCCGCCGGCAACCCGCCCCTCCAGAGTGGATCCGGCCATGGACACCAAGCGCCGAGTCCCGAGGTCATACCACCCCTCAACAGAGGCCCGACAGAGCCAGGGCACCCAGGCCCCCGCAGGCAGCCACCAGGGCGGGCCTGCACACACCCCAACACCCAGCCCTAGCTGCTGAGAGCAGCCAATGCACCGGCGGCAGGGGGGCCCACCACCGGTTACTGAGCTGCTGCCTCTCAGCGAGCAGGTTGTCATGGTTCAAATCCCGGTCCGGGGGCCTTTCTGGGTGGAGTTTGCATGTTCTCTCCGTGCATGCGTGGGTTTTCTCCGGGTACTCCGGTTTCCTCCCACAGTCCAAAAACATGCATGTTAGACTGACTGGTAACTCTAAATTGTCCCTAGGTGTGAGTGAGAGAGTGAATGTTTGTTTGTCTCGTTTGTCTCTATGTGGCCCTGTGATGGACTTGCGACCCGTCCAGGGTGTACCCCGCCCCTCGCACAGTGATTGCTGGACATGGGCACCAGCGACCCCCGTGACCCAAAATGGAATAAACGGGTAAAGAAAATGGATGGATGGATGGATGGATAAAGAGGAAGGTGCGACAAAGAAGGCCCAAGACAATTGAACAGTTAGAGGCCTGTATTAGACATGAATGGGAGAGCATTCCTATTTCTAAACTTGAGAAACTGGTCTCCTCTGTCCCCAGACGTCTGTTGAGTGTTGTAAGAAGAAGGGGGATGCCACACAGTGGTAAAAATGGACTTGTCCCAACTTTTATGGGATTTGTTGACGCCATGAAATTGGAAACAAGAGATTTCTCCCTTAAAATGATACATTCTCTCAGTTTAAACTTTTGATCTGTGATTTGTGTTCTATTCTGAATCAAATATTAGATGTTGGCACCTCCAGATCATTGCATTCAGTTTTTATTCACAATTTGTTTAGTGTCCCAACTTTTTTGGAATCCGGTTTGTATATTATAATATATATATATATATATATATATATATATATATATATATATATATAACTTTTTACAGTATTAATACAGTAATAGTATTACGACATCTTTAAAACTATTGTCAAACACAAACTAAAACCAATACGATTATTCTTACCAAGGAAAGAAAACTGCAGTGGTAGTTGACTGAGTGGAGTAGGATTCATTGATTGAGATGTGTGGTATGCAGTTGTAGTTGTTTGTCTCCTTCTTGTGGTAGTCCACCACCATGGTGGTGTTGTTGCTGTAGTGGTTTTTCTTGGTGAAATACTGATTGTTGTTGGTGTCGTAGTGATTGTTGCTGGTGGAGTTGTGGTTGTTCTAGTAGTCCACCACCACCATGGTGTTGTGGGTGGTATAGTGGTTGAGGATGTTCTAGTAGTCCACCACCACCATGGTGTTGGGAGTGGTGTAGTAGTTGGTGCTGGGAATGGAGTGGCTGCTGAGATTTGTCTCTTTCTCCTAGCAAGCAGTGGATACTTGCGTGTTTTTGAACCATCTGAGTAGAACAAATCCATTTGGCCTTGTGCGTAGTCTTCTACCACCATCTCAAACCCAAAAACATAGGTATAGGCACTGGCATACTGGTAGTGTAATGTGCAAGAATTCTGGCAAGGTAAATAACAATTAATAATAAGTTTAGACAAACCATCAGTGTGTTCAAGTGGGACAAACTCATATGAATTAACTTTTCAACAAACCTGATCAAGTTGGAACCCTGAGAATGGATTGCAGTTGTCACATTCTATATTTGGGATATTACCATACCGGCATCGAACTCTGTCGCCATCAGCATCAAAGGATACCAGCCTGTATGTTCTTGGGCAGTTCTGTGGAGTTCTTGATTAGATACCAAGAAAAGATATAAAAAGTTTTCTTAATTTTTTTTGTGTTATTTTAGAAAATGTTAACTAAGATATAACAAGTATTGGTCCTGCATTAATTTAATAAATATGAATTGGCTTAGTAAAATTTTCATTCCATGTTCAATAGTCAATTTATATGGAGAAATGTGTGTGTGTGTGTGTGTGTGTGTGTGTGTGTGTGTGTGTGTGTGT